ACACATGTATATATACTTACATTGTACATCGAGTGTAAATGTAGTGTTACTAGTTCCAGCATCATTACTAACAGTTAGAGTATATATACCAGATTGATTACGTTGTACATTAGTAAATGATACATTATAATCATTCACAGTTACTCCAGTGCTAGATACAGGATTAATATTTAATAATAATTGTGAAGATGTTATAGTTGGAGGGAATGGATCAGATCCTAACTGTTGTAGACTGCCAGTACTGATATCCTCACCCTCAGTTACTGTTTGAACTGGTACATTTATCAGTAGAGATGGAATAACTATTAATAATAAGAAATACTATGTTTTACATAACTCTATATTTACCTGGTAATCCTATTGTGAATTGAGTTGTATCAGCATCTGGTTGTCCACATTTAAATGATATCAAATTAATGTCAATTGTAAAATTTAATATTGTGAAATTGACTTGAAATGTTCCAAATATTCCAAGTGAGTCTCCAAAAACTTGTATATTACCCACAAGGTAATCTGGTTCTATTGAAATACCAGATGAGTTAAATATTACTTGAGTAAAACTGTCATCTATAGTTCTTTTAGACTGCCACAGACTTTGAATTTGCTGACCATTTGCACCAGCTCCTTCATTGGTGACATGGCAGTATAAGGAGACAGTGAGTCCTTCTTCAGCTATTGCATATATTGGTTGAGTATCATCTGATGGATCAGTGATAAAGGAATAAGGCTGAGAATATATAAGACTAGGAGTGAAAGCAAAGAATAAGTAGACACTAAGCCATTGTACTTCCATAATCTGCTTAGATATGCTCACTGCAGCTCCTCCCCCGCATCCGGGAAAATTGAGTGGGATGGGGAGTGTCAAGATGCAGGAATGCAGTATTATTCGATAGATTTGCTTTATGAGAAGAGAACATAGCTTCTTGCTTCTTTGAGAAAAATGTTTTTCTGGTTTACTGTCGTTTTTTGTGTGATCGGGCTAGTCGCAGGTAATAAATCGTTACGTTTTGTCTCTTATAATTTCATTATTATCTATTTTAGGGCAATCCTTCACTGCTAACCCTGCCAATGCTACTGTCATTGAAGGTGATGTGTTAAGATTAACCTGCGATGCTGCGTTTTCTGGATCACAACCTTTTGTTACTGCTACAAATGGGGTTACTGCTAGTTCTGTCAGCGTAGATGACGACTTGGTGGTTTTTGAAACTAATGTACTAAGCCGCCAAAACAATGGGTCTGTCCTGAGATGCGAGAGTCCAGCAGATAGCTCTCAGGTTGGAGACTTGATTACTCTTATCGTACAATGTAAGTCTAGGCACTGAATTTAGATGTTACCTACTATTTTATAATAATTAGATGAGCCTCTGATAACTGTGACTGGTGCAAATATAACAGTCAATGAAGGAGATCAATTTTCTCTCAATGTTACCATTGATGCTAATCCATCTGTTACTCTTGGTGGTATTAGTGTAGCACCAAACTTACCAGCAACAACAGTTTTTGGTGTTGTTAATGCTAGCACAGTATCAATCACTATTCCTAATGTTGCCAGAAATGATGCTAATAACTATACTATTACTGCTAACAATTCAGTAGGAACAGATACAGCTACTTTTCAGTTGACAGTACTTCGTAAGTTAGTTTTGATTTGATTATTATTTAGAATTTTGTAGCTAATGATGCTACTACTTCATCTTCTATACCTTCTAATACTGAAACCACTACTTCAAGTACTGTCACAGTGACTGCACAAAGTAAATCAGTTTAATTATACTGGCATGACTATATACGGTGTAATATTTATAGCAACTGGATCAGTTTCTCCCACTGTCAGTACAACTGCTACAATGATTTCTGTTGTAACAGTCTCTAGTACTCCAAGTATGTTCTTAAATTTTTGTTACTATCTTTTATTTCAATTTTAGCTCCAGCTCCAACTGGTGAAACGCAAAGCAATGCTACAAGTAAGCATGCAATTAAAGATTATGAATTATTATCTCATTTGTGTTTCAGATGTTCTCGCAAGTTTCATGGCTATAATATTTTTAAATTTTGTGGTTTTTCTTTTTATTTAATTTGATGTAACTGCAAGAAATAGTTGAATATTAGTTGTTTTAATGTTTTTTTAAACCAAAAATAAACAATATTAACTTGAACAATATTAATAGCAATAAAGACTTGAAGGTGGGGCCTAGCAATTATAGATATAGGAGTAAACTTAATATTATAGCCCCCGCTGGAGTCCGAGGGCTCATAATTTTTCAACTTTCAAGTTCAGCTCTGAGGCTTTGGACAAAGATGAAGGTTGTCTTGTGCTGCTCCCTACTTTTTCTACTACTACCTAATGCGATTGTTTCTCAAAACTTCAGTACTTTTCCATTATCAGATCCAGAATCTCAACCAAGAGATGTGATTGGAAGGGAAGGAGAGGATGTGTCACTCTACTGTGCTGTATTTAGTAATTCCGGTCAAACATTAACAGTGTGGCAGTACAAGAGAACTACTGACTCAAGTTTTCAATCTGTTATGTTTAATGGCACCAATCATGTTATGGGACCAAGTTTTCTTGTAGATAAAATAGTGGCTGAAGGTGATCTGGTTATGCCAAACACCAGTGCTGTGACCTTTCGTACTAATTTTACATTTTTGAACTTCACCAATGAGTCTAATTTGATAGTATTTGCATGTGGACCTCCTAATGATGACATAAGACAATTTAGGTTAGGATTACCAGGTAAGTAAAAATGTAGGTTTAATTTATTTCATAATATTATTAATTTTAGTTATTCCATCTCTACTGATAAATGTACCAGTTCAAACAGTAACTGAGGGTGAGGATATCACTGTTCCTCTACAATCAGGACCTGATGCATTCCCTTCTCGCCTTTCTTCACAATTATCATTAAATGGTAATCCTGTATCTAACACTGGAGTAACTGTGAATGATTATAATGTATCATTTACTAATGTACAACGTAATCAATCTGGTATATATACTCTAACTGTTAGTAATGATGCTGGAACTAGTAACACTACATTTACACTCGATGTACAATGTAAGTATATATACATGTGTTCATTTGTTACTGTCTCTCTCCCTCAGTTCCTCCTGAAGCTACTCTTATTGGTACTGATATTCAGTATGTTGAATCAGGTGGTTCAGTGATGGTATCTTTATTTAATATTACTGATGGTAACCCAACACCTACTGTTAGCTGGACTGGACCTAATGGACAAATATCTACTACAGGAAAATTTAT